AATGGACACAGTTTGCCACATCCAAAGACCCGTTTGAAAAGCTCATCCTGTGGTTTCACTGGAAGACCAAGCAGAGTCTGACTGATGTCTTCAGATGTGGAGAACTCATTATGAAGTTCTTTTTCCAATTCCTTTACCGACTTCCTGAGACTGTTGATGAATGGTTTGCTGGTGCTTTGTATTTGAAACAGGGTGCCTTTTTCAGCCTCCTCTGAAATTAACAGGTCTTTGATCAGATATTGTCTCATGTTATTGATGAACTTTGTGGTGCTTTCTTTTTTATCTGGCAGTAAAACACCATGTTCTCCTCTTGATGCTTTTTCCATTGCTTCTGTGATCTTTGTAACTATGATCTGGAGGTTCTTCTTCTTCAGTTTGTTCAGTGTTTCATTCTCTGACATTTTTTGCAAAATCTGCTGAAATATCCAGTCTTTTACATAAACTTCATAGTTAGATATGTACTTTGCAAAACTCTGAAAGTCGTCCTCCAGCAGCAATTCTTTCTGAATGTTGTACTGAAAGAAAGAGCGGGAACTGTACTCTGCTGAATGGGACCTGTTGAGAATTTCTTCTACGATGTCTATTCCCAGAGACCTGAGAATGAAATCCTCAACAGCAGGTTTGAGACAGAGTTGAGCAAAGTTTTCCGCTTTGCGTTGACAGTCATCTCTCTCTTTGTACAAATCAAGAAAGTCCGACAGATACCGAGTCTTGTATTTCTCTAGCTGAGCTCGGGGGTCATTTTTTAAGAGGAACCTTTGGTGCATTTTCATGAATTCCCTTGAAGCAATGCCACAAAGATAAAGTTTCAGATCAATCTCAAACTTTTTTATTGTTTTGTATTGCATACAACTTTCTCTGAGGAACTCATCTATTTCCTTTAAAAACTCCTGTGTCAAATAATCATGATAGTCCTCATTTGTCTGTGCTTTATAGTTTACAAACCGTGTGCAGGACTCAATCACACTATGGGCAAAGTTTTGAAGATCACTATACCCTTCTGACTTATTTACAATACCATCTACATGGTCATGATTAGTTTTGAATGGAGCTTTTCCAGCTTCCATTAAGTCAGTGTTCTGTAGTTCCTCGCTGACATTTTGGTTTGAGAAGTTTTTTCTCAACTGTCTCAGGACACATCCTGCAATATCTCGCTCTGGTAATCCTGCTATATCTGCTGTTGCTTCTTTCCACATGTTTTCAAACTGATGACTCAGCTGATCGTCAGACAACGTAGAACCTCTGCATTCATCCAGGAGCTTCATAACCTTCTCCTCAATAACAGCTCTGTATTTGTTTCGTATGTCTTCAGCTCTTTTTCTACTTATCTTTAACTCCATGATGACGTCAAGTTTACAGTTTACAGAATTTTGAATTTCATTTGCAAGGCTTCTAACACTGTTGAGGAACTCAGCTTTGTATTTCTCTATCAGATTCACATGTCTGTCTTTTCTTTCGTAGTAGCAGCTGATTTTTTTCTTCATTGTTTTTTGCTCATTATTTATTTTCTGAGACACCTCTTCTTTCTTTTTTTCCAGCAGGCTGTTCCTGTTTTGCATTTGAGCATCATCAGCATTTAAAATCTCCAACTCTGCCTCTTTCTGCCATGAGAGGATTTCCTTTCTGAACTCCCACTCCCATTGGTTGAACTCTTTGCAAAAATCATCATAGGCATGAGCCACAAGTGTGTTTCTGAAACTGAAGATGAAGTTCTCGTATTTGACTGCTTTCCACAGACTTTCCATCCATTCAACAAACTCTGGGATCTGCATTGATTGATCTTCATTTTTGGTTGCTTCCAACAGTTGTTTCTTTAAATCTGCCACAGCCTCACTGTATCCAGTGCTGACTGGGGCCATTGGAGGAGCTCCATGCCAAAGTCCTGGGATGTACCAGTTGTTTTTCTCCACATCATAGTCCAGCACATCAGTGAATGCTTTAATTGAAGGCAGTTTTTCCATTTCTGATGCAATTTGCGTCATTTCATTAAGTTGTTCCAGGAGGTGATTCCTTTCTACCACGCACTTGGAGTGAGCTGAAACTCCTCCAACGTTTTGGTGTACAAAGTGACAAATTGGCTTTTTCCCAAGTTCTTTCATTCTTAGGAATGCATGAGCAGCGATTTGCAGAACGTCTTTCATCTCTGTTGAGTTCTCCATTGATATGTTGATGATTGTGACATCACTTAAACCGATGACAAATGTTGCCAGCTGGTTGTCGTGCTCATAACTGTCATCAAGTTGTGCCAAGTCAGGAGACTTTAAACCCTCTGTGTCAATAAGAACTACAAAGTCATACTTTAGCTCACTCTTGAAGTCGTCTCCAACTCTGAGGAGGACCATGTAGGCTCCTCTTGTGCATCTGCCGCTGCTCACAGGAAACTGCACACCAAACATGGTGTTCAGGAGTGTGGACTTCCCTGAACTCTGAACACCTAAAACAGTCAGAACCAACAAGCGGCTCCTTCCCTCAACCTTCTGATGAACCTCCATTAGCACAGCTGACACCCATCTTTGTGGAATGTTGGAGGCGTCTCCATCCAGGAGCTCTAAAGGATAGCCATCCAACAGCATTTCTGCAGCCAGAGTGGTGAGAGCAGGTCTGTCATCAGCGGTGTTCTCTGACTGGGAGGAAAACTCATAGATCAGTCCCATCTCTCTCATGTAATGCTCTATTCCCAAAGAGCTGTCCAGAAGAGCTTGATCTAACTCAGAAACTCGTTTGGCATTTTTCCTCTTGCACTGCTCTTTGAACTGGTTTCTTAGAGTGGACAGTTCTTTTCGAGAATTTGTATCAAGCATGAGTTTCATCCACTTCAGGAAGAAGTCCCTGTGTTCTTTCTCACCTGCAGACAGATTATCGATGAAAGTTTTAATTTGTTTGGAGATTTCATGTTGTTTTTGCAGGTTTTGTAGTTTTTTCACTTCTTCTTGAAGTTTGGATTTATAATCTTCTGGTCCTGAGTCTCTAGATCCTGTCAGTCTGCACATCTCTTTTTCTAATTTTGCCAACCTTTTCCAGTTTTCACCCTGCAGAGGAAGTTCCTGTTTCTTGTAGTCTGATAAAGACCTTCCTTCAATTCCTCCTAAGATTTTCTCTGCTACTTTCTTCTGTTTGTCACTTCTGCATTCATCCACAGACAAACCAAATTCAACAGCTTTGTCGTGCAAGCTAACAATGTTACATGTTGTTGTTCCACTAGTCAGTGAAGTCTTGATGACAGCACAAAGCTTCTGGGTGAATTCTGCTACATTTTCCCTGGAGTTTTTTGTTTTCACGCTATTTTTTTGTAAATCTAATTTCTTAAGCATTTCCTTGACAGACTTCATGTCCTCTCTGGCACCTCCCTCTTTGCAATTAACTAGAAAGAAGAGTTTAGATTTGACATCTTGTAGAGAAGTCAGCATGTCCTGTTCCGTTTTTTCGACTTTGTCCAGGAGCACAAAGGTAGCAGAGGACACTTGATATAGAAAGTTAAATTGTGCCTCTGACTCACAAATGTCTCCTCGTAAATTGGCAAATGCCACTGGCTCTGGGAAAATATCAAGGTTATCTCTTCCACAGGGAAGATACCAGCAGACCTCCACAACTCCATCAGCAATTTTCCTTTTAGTGGACCCTCCCTTCATACCTCTGTGCATGAAGATATTTTGAGTCTGTTGACCACAACTAAGGACATGATTCAGCAGATGGGACTTTGACAAACTGCAGTTTTTTAGCCTGACAAAAGAAAAGAGAGGGATGTTTGCTTGGACAATGCTTTCCTCAACAAAACCTCTTGATTCAGACAGCTCAGATGGACACCACTCTTTTACAATGTCCCTCAGAGCCCAGAGCATCAGGCTGCTCTGACTTTTATTGCTATGGGGAAGCAGCAGGGGGACAGAAATCTGGCACATTGACATCTTTAAGGTCATTTGTTGTTGTAGGAAACTGTCAGCACACAGGAAGAGAGCCACTATGAGGTCAAGTGGATGAATTTTGGTATCAAAATTATCTTCATCATTCCAGTCAAGATCAAAAGGATCATCATTTTCTCCTTCACTGACTGGTAACTGTGCAGAGTTCCTGCAGTCAGCATTGATTTTCAAAAGTTTTCTGAGAAAAGACAGTGGTATTTCCCTTAGTGATGAAACTGGCTTGTCATCAACGCTTTCTTTGTTGATCCCCAAAAGAGAACGGAAAGTGAGCTTATTGGGGTAGAAGTCCTCTAGTCCAAGTTTATGGAGAGTGTTCGTAAGAGCTATCAAAGAGAAAAAGAGATTTTATATCAAAAGTGCATGAAAAACTAATATTTACAATCTAGTCTTGGTGAACCGTAAGTATTATTCAGTCCTGTCATAAAGTATGACAGGAGGGAACTGTCATCCAATCTCTTGGGACCTTAATCAACCACCTGATATATGCTGATTGTTTGGTTATATTTTTTCCTCACTTATTGAGTGTCCACCAACACTATGGTTAAAATGATGAAGTTGATTATAAAGAATGGTAGAGTATTAATATGAATATAAGAAGTAAAGAGGATCAGAAATTAATATTTCCTGGTTTCTCTCACTTTCTGGTGCAACTCTTAAAGTTTAACTTTATATAACTTTATATAACTGATCTGACTGATGACACAGTAATTTACAGACAGCATTGTTTCATGTTTCCTCATACTAATTTGCAAAGGACCAGTCAGTGTTCTTTCTCAGTGTCAGTTGCACATGTAAAGCCTACAGGAGCCCTTTGTGTACCGCCCATCTGTGGAGGTGCAACATGCAAAGCAGGATCTCAAAGTAGAATGGTGACTGGAGGAGGTTGTAGAGATGGACCAGTGGACAGTTTAGCATCTTTGCTCTTGCACTGCTCTTTGAACTGATTTATTAGCGTGGACAGTTTTTTTTCGAGAATTTTCGAGAAGCATGAGTTTAATTTACTTCAGGAAAAAGTCCCTGTGTTCTTTGTCACTTTCAGACAGATTATCGATGAAAGTTTTAATTCCTTTGGACATTTCATGTTTTCAGGCTGCTCTGACTTTTACGGCCATGGGGATGCAGCAGTGTGACAGAAATCTGGCAGATTGACATCTTTAAGGTAATTTGTTGTTGTAGCACACTGTCAGCACACAGGAAAAGGGCCACTATGAGGCCAAGTCGATTGATTCTGGTATCAGCGTTATCTTCATCATCCCAGTCAAGATCAAAAGGATCCTAATTTTCTCCCTTACTGACTGGTTACTGTCCAGAGTTCCTGCAGTCAGCATTGATTTTTAAAAGTTTTATGAGAAAACACTGTGGTATTTCCCTCAGTGATAAATGATGTCCTATGTTATAGGACTGTGGGTAAAGGTCTAAATGGGGAACGGCTCCCGCATCAAAAAGCATACACAAGATGCATCCACCAATCCATCCTTGTCCAGTGTTCCATGACTAGAAAGAACACAGCAGTGTTCCTCCTAAATCTGTTGGAACTCCTCTCCAGCTTCATTGTAAAAAAATCCAGAGGTACCATTCTCCCATTATAAAAAGAAGGAACAATACTATTCCAAATGTACTGTACCCGATCTCTACAGTGTTTTATAGTCATCTAAACCATCAGTGATCACATTCAAGTCTTATCAAATTCAGGATACATTTAATTTCAAGGAAAGACGTGTGTAAGATAACTTGTCCCACATCGTGCACACCACGCTGACATGTGGACAGCCCAGCAAGCTAAGGGATTTGGACAAATTATTTCCAAGGCCTTAGAAAAAAGGCTGAGATACCCCTCGATCAGTTCAGGCCTTTCTAACCCTACTAACCCTGGAAAACTTTCCATGCCAGTAGCACATCCAACTATTTCAATTTTTATCTACAAAAAGAAAATTCCTTCACCACAACTCCCAGTTTAAAAAAAATGTTTCTTTAATAAATACATACTTAGGTCCATATAGCATAAATAATTTATGTAAAATAATTATAATTGAAAGATTAACAAAAGTCTCAATTTTAGAAAAAGGCTCCCCAAACAGTGGTTCTACGTAGTAGACATAAACCTGACTGACATTCATGCACCATCCGTTTGTATAACACGGCATTAAAAATGGAAACACCCATGCCAGCAAACAACAGCATTTGGCACTGGTCCATCTTTACAACCTCCTCCAATCAGCATTCCACTTTGAGTTCCTGCTTAGCTTGTAGCGCCTCCGCTGATGGGCGGTACACAAAGAGCTCTAGTAACGTTAAATGTGCAACTGACACTGAGTAAGAAAACAGACTGGTCCTTTGCAAATTAGTATGAGCATACAGGAAACAATGCTGTCTGTAAATGCATCATCAGTTGGATGAGTTATATAATATCCAGGCATTTCAAAGAAGTTCACACTTTAAGAACAGAAAGAGAGAGAAACCAGGAAATATCAGTTTTTGATCCTCCTCACTTCTTATATTCAGGATAATACTCTACTTTGCTTCATAATCAGCTTCATAATCTTGACCATATTGTGGGCAGACCTTCAGTAAGTGTTGAAGACCAGCAAAAAGAGGAATGAATATAACCAAATGATCTGCATATATCAGTTAGTTATATGACAGTTCAGTCCTGTCATACTTTATGACAGGAGTGAAGTCTGAGCTGTTAAACAGGACATGACAGTTTTATCTCACTATAAATGAATGATAGTGTGATATGAGGCTCAGAATGTACCTTCAGGAACTTTTGGATCCGTCGCAGCAGCCATTGTCTGACTTTAGTGTCTGACTTCTCTCTTCATTCAAAAAAACCTTAAAACAGTCATAAAAAAATTATTTTCAGAGAAACTCTATGAAGAGCTTCAGTAACATGCCAACATTTAAATATATATTATAAGATTTAAATGTAAAATAGTACATTTTCTTGTGTTTTATTGAAACTACTTTATGGCAATATGAAATATAACCTGTTAACGTTTGATATTGCGCCATTTTAATAAATATAAACTTTTTAGAATAACTATTTAAAAGGCTCATCTGGGACAATCAAAACTTTCCCAACAAAAATGTTTGTAGAGAGGAACACAGCTTTAAGTCATTTTCCTTCTTTCAGTAAAAGTGTGTTATTGCCATTGCTTTAGTTCAGTTGTGCTCCAAATTCTAGGGAGTGAAAATACATATGATCAATCTCTCTGGACTTTTTGTTTTACAAAATCACATGTCAGATATGTTTTGCCTTTTACATCATTTTGATAAAGATCAAATGAGACAATCCTGTGAAATATTCCAATTTATGTCTGCATATCAATGTAATAAAGCAGATTTTAGATACTAGACATCCGCCTAAAATCAGACGCAGGCAATGTCTCGGTCCTCGTTCTGCTGGACCTGAGCGCAGCCTTTGACCCACTTTGAGTTGTGTTCTACAGAAAAGGTGCTGTAAAATAACCTTGCCTTGCCGTGCCTAGAATGTTTACCATCAAATTTGATTTAGATTGAAAACAACCTAGTAGTACATCAAGCACATCAGCACACAGAAACTTACCCTCAACCAGGAGGCAGGAGACTGAGACGGTTTTAGTCCATTTGCAGTATTTATGCTTAGAAATAGAAAGTAAAAATATTATTTTTGTTCTCTGAAGGAGACAAAAGACTCACTAAACCAACTGGTCTAACCTTTTCGCTGCAACATAATTTAATAAATAATTAAGCCCACATATTATAAATAATTCATGTGAAATGAATGATAAATGAAAGATTAACAAAAGCATCAAATTTATGAAAGGCTGCCCAAGCAATGGCAGATACAGTATAAACCTGACAGACATTCATGTACTGTCCCTCTGTGTAACACAGCAATAAAACTTGAAACACCACCGTCAGCAAACAACAGCATTTGGCACTGGTCCATCTCAACAACCTCCTCCAGTCACCATTCTACTTTGAGATCCTGCTTTGCATGTTGCACCTCCACAGATGGGCGGTGCACAAAGGGCTCCTGTAGGCGTTACATGTGCAACTGACACTGAGAAAGAACACTGACTGGTCCTTTGCAAATTATTATGAGGAAACATGAAACAATGCTGTCTGTAAATGTCTGTGTCACCACCATAAAGTGAGAGAAACCGGGATATACTAGTTTCTGATCGTCTTTAATTCTTATATTCATAATAATACTCTATTCTTTATAATCAACTTCATAATTTTAACCATAGTGTGGGTGGACGCTCAATAAGTGTGGAACACCAGTACTAAGAGGAAAAAATATGACCAAACGATCAGCATATATCAGGTGGTTGATTAAGGTCCCAAGAGATTACTGTATATGACAGTTCAGTCCTTTCATAAAGTAAGACAGGAGTGAACCGTCATCCAACCTTTTTGGGGGGCTTTTCAGTCAGATGTAAGGACATGAAACAGTTTGATCTCACTATAATCAATGATAGTATAATAAAAAGAAACAGAATGTACCTTCAGGAACTTTTGGATCCCTCTCAGCAGCCATTGTCTGACTTTAGTCCGACTTCTCTTTTCATATCAAAAACCTAAAACCAGTCATAAAAATGTTTATTTTCCCAAATAAACTTGATAAAGAGCTTCAGTAGCATGGAAATATTTCAATATATATTATAAGTTTTAAATGTAAAAGTACATTTTTCAGATGAGTTGTTCAGATGGCAACATGAGAAAACCTGTTTCGGTTTGATATCTAAGCTAATATAGAAAATATCCCCAGGTTTTTGGTAATTTTTTTAAACCAAAAGGCTGTGACTAATGGAATAAAAACTTTCACTGTAAAAAGGATTATATAACTGAAAACACCTTTAAGTCATTTTGCTTCTTTTAGTTTAATAGTGATGTGTCTTTTTTCTTTAGTTTTCTTTAGTTCAGTTGTGCTGCTTATCAAAATCTCACCAGTAAACTAACCTGTAACCTGTCTGTGTGAATTTTCAATGCTGATTTTTTGTGATTACAAACTGTCCTGACTGAAACAAAATTCTAAGAAAAGCCTTAAATGAAAACAGTTTAACATTTGACCCGAATGCTCTTCTTCAAAGAATCCACTGGATGGCAGAGTTTTGCTAGTTTATGGACTTGAATTAAAGACAAATTTTGGTCAATTTAGAATAAATCATTTATGTTAAATATAACACAAATCAGCAGACATTGTCTGACTTTAGTGTCTGACTTCTGCCATTAAACCCCCCCCCCCCCTAAAACCAGTAAAATATTTGTATTTTCACAAAGAAACTTTATGAAGAACTTCAGTAGCATGGCAATTTAAATGTAGATTATAAGTTTTAAATGTAAAACATTACATTTTTTAGATCATATATGTAAGTTACTTTATGGCAGTGGTGGGCCGTCAGGGCCTGCAAGGCCTTCTCTGAAGGCCTAAGAAAATATCTGAATCACAGACTGATGTTAATGATATTTTGTCCATAAAAAAGGTATTAAATATCTCTAAATAGTCTGTCAGCTTCCTTTCATAGCTTCTCCCCTGGTTGCGCTGCTTCCAGACATGCATTTTCATATAAAAGCATTTAACCAATCACATTTCAGACATCCTTTGTCGCTAGGCAGGGTCAAAGTCAAAGATGTCTGCCTGGAGGCCTTCACAATCCGTTCTGCAGGCCCCCCCCCACAGAAAATACATGTCGAGTACACTGTTGCTTCAACCAATCAGATGTTAGGTTGGTGATGCCAGGGCCTGCGCGAAGGCCCAGGAAATGCCACCGTACCCACACCCGCTGATTGGATAGTCGGATATCCAGTCAGGGCAAAGCTAGCAAACAAACCGAAATATAGTTGTGTTAGTTAGTGTAATAGCTATTTTATTATTTCGTGGCGGATTTACTGTCAAGACCATTTTCAAAACGGACTTTTCAAGAAAAGTAAGTGAGTAAAATGTTGTTTTTTTCCTAAATGGTATTGCGAGTTTATGAGGACATTATTGATGTTTTTGTTTTGTTTTGTTTTTTTTGGGGGGGGGATCGCAGCTGTAGCTGCAGGAGTAGAAGGTGCACCCCTGATCTTTAGACTGTATTTTAGGATTGTCCTGATCCGATATTTGGATCGTATCGGCATGAGAAAATGCCAATCGAGACTCCAGATACATTTTTTTTTAAAGTCCGATCCCAACCGAGCATTAGCATTAGCATTAGCATCTCCTAACCCACAGGTCTGTGTAAACTTTAGTTGTTATAAGAGTAAATCCCTGTTCAACATGAGTCTGACAACTAAGTAAGTAGAAAAAAAAAATCAATTTTAATACAAAAAGCTGGATCGGGACATCCCTACTGTATTTCTACATATTAAGATGATTTCTATAACCATAAAATAGTTATTGAGGGGTGAATTGATTCAGACGGAGCACTACTGAAGGCCTAGGTGTAAAATGCACGGCCCGCCACTGCTTTATGGCAATGTGAAAAAAAAACTGTTTAGGTTTGATATGAAAGCCATTAAAAAAAATATTAACAAGTTTTTCTTTTGTCATTTTTAATACCCTTTAAAATTCTAATTTGTTACTAATTCAATCAAAACCCATACAAATGTTTGTAAAATTAACAGACCTTCAAGTCATTTTCCTTCTCAGTTAAAGTGAGTTGTGGCCTTTTCTTTAGTTCAGTTGTGCTCCCAAATCTAAAGAATAAAAGTACATATGATCAAACTCTCTGGACCAGGGGTCACCAACACAGTGCCCGCGGGCACCAGGTCGCCCGCACGGACCAAACGAGTCGCCCGCAGGCCTGTTCTAAAAATAGCACAACTCAATAGTGAGCTGCGTATAAAATTTAATTTTGTTCCTTTGCTATTCTTTTTTAATCACACTTGCATTCATATAGATTTGATTTAAAATGACAATATCTTAAAAATATGTTAATTATATATTAAGTTTAAGTTTTCTCTAGTTCAAAGGTCAGTATTGTGCACGTGACAAAACAAAACCAGTGTCAGTGGAGAGTAAGCTAGTAGGCGTAGTGGAGCAGGGTGCAGTTTCTTACCCCAAAAACATGGGAGAAAAACGAAAGAGAACTTATCACTTTCACAACGAATGGGAGGAGGAGTTCTTTTTTACGACTGTAAAAGAAACCTGCGTGTGTCTGATTTGTGGGGCAACTGATGCAACGGCAAAGCGGCACAATGTGGATAGACACTTCACTTCGTGCCACAAAAGCTAGCATGCTAACTACCCACCGGGAAGCGCACTACGGGCAGAAAAAGCACATCTGAAATATGCACTCACAGTTGCAGTGTCAAGTTACACACCAGATTACAATGCACTGGTGAACAGCATGCAATGCCAATCTGTTAAAGATTTGGTCATGAGATTTCAGATTTCTTTTTAATATGTGAGTTGATTTTTCTTTAACATTAGATCATTGATAACTTTTTGAAACAAGGTGCAACATAGTTCATGATTTGTTAAAAGGTTTTGTCAGTGGCTAGTGAAAATGAGTGAAATTGAAAACTCCTATGTAAACGTAGTGATGTACAGTAAGTGATCATTAGAAAATGTAACAGTTGCTGAGATAAATAGAGATAAAGTGGTGGATATTTATATGTTTCCCATTTTGTTGTCACTGTTGTCACAGATGAGTATCATTAATGATTATTAATAAAGTATAGCTAAAAGCATATTGATCAAATGTATTATTTCAGAAGAGTGTATCAAACTGGTAGCCCTTCGTGTGACTCAGTACCCATGAAGTAGCCCTCTGTTTCAAAAAGGTTGGTGACCCCTGCTCTGGACATTATTTTACAAAATCACAACATCTCAGATATTATTATTTTTTAGCTTCTTCTATCATTTTAATAAAGATTAAAGGAAACGATACTATGAATATATTGCAATTCATTCCCCTCTGAATATAATGGAATATAGAAGATTTCAGATATTATGTTTGCTATCAGATTAATTTTAGATTGAAAACAACCTAGAGGTACATGAAGCAAATCTAATACTGTTTCATATAAACTTACCTTCAACCAGGAGGCAGGAACTGAGCTGGTTTAAGTTTGTTTGCAGTATGTATGCTTAGAAAGCTAAAATTGAAACTAAAATTATTATTTTTGTCCTCTAAAGGAAAAAAAAGACTCACCAATCCAACTGGTCTAACCCGTTCGCTGCGACAGTGTGGGTTTAGTAAACATCCATTATTGCTAAACAGGTTATTCTCATTTGTCTATCATAGCTTTTATTGGGTGAGAGGCAGGCTCCCCTAGACTGGTTGGTCCATTAGTTGGATACAACTGGCTTACCTGAACCCTCCTCTGTCCCTGAGAATGTAATCTACATTTTAACCCATTCAATCACTTTTGCTGTGATTGGGCGTGACTCTATAAGAATAAACAGGAACTAACAAAGATCAATGAGCCCTAAATATAATTCAAAAAGAGAAAGTGAACAAGATAAAAATAAGAATGATTCTTACAGAAAAATACTTTAATGAAAGAAAGATGGTAAACAATGGGATGTGACTTCAACACATGGAATAAACAAACACAAATGAGCAAAAAGCAATGTTGAATGTTTATTGCACTTTGTCCTGATTGGAAAAAATACATAAAAAACCTAAAAAGTAATGTTCAACAATGTGTGACATGTATGCTCCACTTCAAAGAATCCACTTGATGGCAGCATTTGACTATTTTACTGTTCAAAGTCAGTAATTATTCTTTGTATTTTTTGCTAAGAAGATAACTTCTTAATAATTTAGGAACGTTTGTTGTTGTTGATCTATGTTATGACTAAAAAAGTTTAGATTATTACCTCTCATGATTGAATACTGAAGCTTGCTTCGATACCTGCTTTGTTGCACCTGTTCGCTCAGCCTTTGCCTGGATGTAGCCAGCAGCCCACCTTCAAGCCCTGCTCCCCATAGAGCCCCCCTTGACAGGACTCTGCCCATAGACCTACACACTGAGTCCACCCTCAAGTTCCTGTTACCTCCAATCTCCCTCTACCTCAATGGATCACTTTAATTCCTTTATCCAGCAGTCCCTTTTTTCTTTTGGATCCAGTCCTCACCCAACACAAAACACTGCCTGCGAAAAGAGTCTTTAACTTACGCTTATGACGAATATTGTTGTGTACCAACTCTGATGTTTGAGGTTGGAATTAGTAACGTTTAGAACTCTTCAGGAAATGTGAAAATGCGTCTAGATATGGACATTTAAGCTGGTACAATGACCCAAAAAATGTATATATACATCCAACATTCAGACATCCAGATCAGATATGCTCATTACATTTAGATTAAGGACAAGAACAGACATTCAATGTATTTATTGGAGAACATTTTTCACATCACACATATGTTTATCTCTTGGCTTTCCACTAAAATATATAAACTAAAGGAACGTAGTTTTTCTATTTCAGATGCAATTTGCATAATTTCATTGAGTTGTTCCAGGAGGTGTTTTCTCTCTACCATGCACTTGGAGTGAGCGGAACCTCCTCCAACGTTTTGGAGGCTCAAATGCACAAAATGACACACTGGCTTTTTCCCAAGTTTTTTCATTCTTAGGAGTGCATGAGCAGCGATTTGCAGAACGTCTTTCATCTCTGTTGAGTTCTCCATTGATATGTTGATGATTGTGACATCACTTAAACCGATGACAAATGTTGCCAGCTGGTTGTCGTGCTCATAACTGTCATCAAGTTGTGCCAAGTCAGGAGACTTTAAACCCTCTGTGTCAATGAGAACTACAAAGTCATACTTCAGCTCACTCTTGAAGTCGTCTCCAACTCTGAGGAGGACCATGAGAAAGTTTAGAAAGTGTTGTTTTAATAATTCATATTACATGTAGCCACTTACTTTCCCAATTGTTTTCTTTTCTTTAGTTCAGTTGTGCTCCAAATTCTAGAGAGTGAAAATAAACATGATCAACCTCGGTGGACTTTTTTTTTTACAAAATCACAACATCTCAGATATGTCTAGCCTTTTACAACATTTTGATAAAGATCAAATGAGACAATAATGTAAAATCTTCCAATTTATGTCTGCATATAAATGTAATAAAGCAGAATTTAGATAGTAAACATCAGCCTGAAATCAGACGCAGGCAATGTCTCGGTCCTAGTTCTGCTGGACCTGAGCGCTGCCTTTGACCCACTTTGAATTTTCCTGGACACAAAATGTGCTGCAACATGAACTTGCCTTGCCGTGCCTAGAATGTTTGCTATCAGATTTGATTTAGATTGAAAACAACCGAGTGGTACATCAAGCACATCAGCATGTAGAAACTTACTCTCAACCAGGAGGCAGGAGACTGAGCTGGTTTTAGTCCGTTTGCAGTATTTATGCTTAGAAATAGAAAGTAAAAATATTTTTTTTGTCCTCTGAAGCAGACAAAAGACTCACCAAACCAGCTGGTCTAACCTGTTTGCTGCAACAACGTGGGTGTTGTTAACATCCATTACTGCTAAACATGTTATTCGCATTAGTCTTTACTAGCTGTTAGTGGGTGAGAGGCAGGCTCACCTGGACAGGTCGGTCCATGAGTTGGATACAACTGGCTTACCTGAACTGCCCTCCGTCCCTGAGAATGTAATCTACATTTCAACACATCCATTTGTTTTTGCTGTGATTGGGTTGTGACTCTATAAGAATAAACAGGAATTAATAAAGGCTAATGAGCCCTAAATATAATTCAAATAGAGAAAGTGAACAAGATAAACAGAAGAATATTTTTACAAAAAAGACTTAAATGACTGTCTTTCTGCACTACTTCACATTAAACCTCTCCTACCACACACTCACTCTGATCGAAAGGTCATACAAAGTTTTGTTTGACAAATGTATGAGGAAGAATGTGTTTGTACCTTTTCAGGTGCAACACATACCAAGTGATTAGGATCAAACATACCACTCAGCAACAACTCCCAATAACTCTGCCATGTGTCCATATCTAAGGAGAGGGAACAGATCTGTTATATTATTAGTATCTGTCAAGTTATGTGTGGTTTCGTGCTTCAGCTCCTGCCTAAACTTGACAAATGGCTGGTCATCACCAACAAGGACGCTAGGCACAACTCAAATCCTTTTCCATTGTGTTTATTCGTTGAAATTGATGATCAGATTCGTCAAAGGATTTAGGATTGGAATGAGGATTAGGTTGAAAACCTTTCAAAAATAAATTGAAAAACAGAAGTTGAATTAGTTCAAAACAAACATTTTTAAAGAAAACATTTTCACTGTGGCTCAACCATAAGCACAATATAAACTGAACATTACCAGGCCACAAACCATACTACAATATCTTCCAACTCAACTTCTACCTTTTAATAAACAATATCTTAATAACAAACTTAATTTCCTCCTTACTAGTTGCGTATGTGGTGATTAGACCATGAGCTGAACCTGCTTGGCTGAGAGCCGGTCTCTCCCTATTTCTGCCAAACTGCCACACAGGTGTGTGCGGGTGTTTTAACCACAAGAAGGCCCACACAGGAATTTCCGGCCCCCAACACAAGTTCACTCCTCCTTTTTTCCTACCTTTTCTTCTTTTTTTATATTTTTGACATGACAGTATCTGATAGAAGATAGAATTCTTAAAAATGTTTTTTTTTACCTTGTCCTGTTCAGCATTATGGCAGCAGAACTGAAATCTGAGTACCGTGCTATGCTGAACAAAATATCTTTGCCAAGGGAAGGCTTTGTTGGTGAGAAGCCCCCCTTGATTACCCAAAACTGCTTTATTTATTCATTGTTGTTACCAAACTTATATGTGTCTAATAATGCCAAACCTGACGGAGGGACAGGGAAGAAAGAAGAGTAGTTGAAAGGAGAGAGACCCTTTAGACAGAAACAGAAAGGGAAAAAAAGGAAGACAACAAGATCATACAAGCAGCTGTAAAAAGGAGACTGTTCCTTGTGGGCAATCCGGGTGGAGAATCTATAGGAGCTCCTGCAAAAGGAGCTCCTA